AAGAGCGAACAAACACGGAATCATTTTATACGCATCACTTACACTGCAGGGGTCTTTATTTTTTTAACATAAACGAAGAAATAGATGGGACATGGCAAAGACGTTGGAAACAAAGAAATGCACACAGATTTTCGGTACGTGTGAGTGTAAAACGTAAACCATTCTACATTGCATACACAGATTGTCAGGGTGTAATCTGGATCGATGTAGCTTCAAATAAGGCGCCCTGGCTGCGACGACAGTGGTACTCAATTGGGAAATTCTTGATCATTTATACAACTGTCGAAGGAACCAAGCCAAGTACTGTCAGTTAATGATTACGCTTTCATCTTCGACAAAGTGGGTTCACTCCGAATAAATTTTCAGCACGTGTCTATCCACTTTAAAAGTTACGCTTATATTAATTTAAACATTGGCATGTTTACAGAAATCTTGCAACTTTAAATGACTTTCAAGACATTACAGAGGATGCGCTGATAGCTGCGTGTGAAGTACGACCTCAGCGGCTTGAAGTCACGGTTTTAGACACGGGAGCAGCTACTCGCTACCCACACATTCGCCCACTGCTGGCAGCCTCTCACGGCGATGTAAGTTGTCATAGGAAGAGGTACTTGCAAAATGGGGGGGGGTCACTGAACAAAATGGGGCCAATGTCGAAATTACCACAAGAACAGGGACTCACGAAGGGCCTTCCGGGCAAACGGAAGCCTTGAATGGTACTTGGCACAGTTTTCACAAGGGCAGTTTGTAGGCAGTGTGACGTTATGTATAATAAAATCAATCATGGCGTAACAACAGTTAACCACAGCCCACCCGACGTTCGGAGTAAATCCCAGCTTAATATTAAGCTCGGTTATAATATACGTATGCATGCACATAAATTAAAAACATACTCTATTTTACATCTAAATTGCTCCCATAAGAGGCAATAAAGAAAAATTAACGTGTCATAGAAGAAATCCTTGAATCAAAGAGTAATCAGTTGTCAAGGTGATTTCCTTGTTAAATGAAAACATCAAAACAGCTGCCTCGGTTGCGTCGTAAATATACGGAAGCGATTGATCTTTCATGATATTTTGCGAAAAGGAAATGGGTGGATTATTCTAATCAACGGAAAAATTGACGTGTAAAGTGTTAAGACGAAAACCAGGCAATGATAATAAGAGTTACAGCTCGATCAAGGTGTTCTGGGTAGGTGTTGCCTGCAACAAATGAAAGGTCTGCAAACGGAAACGATGAGCATTGGCACACCCAAACTGACCAAGTTTATTCCGGATTTTGTACCCGTAAAATACTACTACTTTCAAAATGACGCGGGTGTTAAAACAAACATTCGTGTTCAGTTACATACCCATATTTAATCAACTGTTTAGGCTCTATAGTTTCACACTAATAAATCAGTACAGACGATATTTTAGAAAATGCTTCAGAAGAATATTTGGGTTTTGGCAGGGAAAGTAATACAGAATGCAGAAAACTGCATATTGAAGAGATAAGTAATTTACGCACTTCAATAAACGATACACGATCACAGCAACGTCGAAAAGATGGAAAGAACACGTAGAATGAATGGATAAACGGGAAATACAAACATTTTGGTCGGAAAATTTGAAGAAACAAAATCGATTGTGGGACCTATGTGCAGATGGGAAAATAATATTAAAATGGATCTTTAAATAACAGACTGTGAGGATGTGGACTTGGTTAATGTTCAAGATAGAATCTGGTGGCGGGGCAGAGGGGAGGATAGTAATTAAGCAACTTATTATATAACATGCAAGGAGGATAATTACATAACCAGCTGAGCGGCTATTAACGTTTGAGGAAAACTCAGCTCCTTGTATTTAAAACTATGATATTCCTAGCTGAAGTCTCATGCACATGAACCGATATTTATACACACGCTTTGGTGCAGCTACAATTTCAACTCTGCCTGAAGATTTTCTCGCTCGTAAGCACGAGTGCTGCAGGGCAGCCTACTTCTGTTTTCTAATAAAAGGGGGTCAGACTCTCATTCATAATTCGCATCACATCCTTTCGTTGAGTCTGCGCGTGTTCCGAAAACTTTTCAACTGTTCTCGCGAGCACTGACCTGGCGTCTTCGCGCCATCCAGCGTGGGTGTGGCTCCAAGCTGATTGTCGCCCAGATGGTCAACAAGTTCTCGGCTTTCTTAGGACCCCACGGTCCATTATATACCCTGAGTCACAAGAATTCAGCCCACACCATCATAAGAGAACAGTGCAAAGGAAGGTATGTGCCCCAGAACACGCCTCGGCGCATTCGAGACAGGACCAGTGCGATGCATGTGCAGGGTGTCTGGATTGGTGATGACGTCATCACGGAGGAACCCCCGCGTGGATGCGCGGCTGGGACACCCCACGCGCACATTACCGAATCAGTCACATACGCGTGCATGAACGCACGAGAAATGCCCGCTACTACGTTTTGAATTGAACCAAGTATTTAGTCGGGCTCAAGACAGTCAGATCAGAACCACGACGTTGCATGGTTGCTACAGTCCCGGGAATGGGTTTGTTGCTACCTTTTGCAATTTATTCAACGACTCTATCAGCAAGACGCACACACGATAGACGTCGAATGACAGGATGACTAATGAATAATGAATTGGAACAGATGCAGAAGGAACCGGTCGTAGCATGATTGACTTGTCTTGACAGACTAAAGAAAACCACGAGAAATCTGAGCAAGGATAACAGGTCACTGGACCCAATCGGATCCCTGGTATACCAGATTACGAAACACAAGTGCTAACGCTTGGCATGAACAGGTGTGTCTGAATTTAAAGCAAGCTTCATAAAATGTTGAGCATCGAGTGACGTAACACATGTTCAAGTGTTCTGGGAAATCGTTTGACGAAAGTATCGCTCCTACTTCAATTTCAGTCCCTGACCCGGTTCAGGGAGAACTGTCATTAATACTGGTCGGCCCCTGACCTCTCAGGCGTCACATGCAAAGTTGAACTGAATCGGTGTCTCGGATCGAACACAACCAACTAAATAATAAACGACTTGGGAAGTCGCTGTCATTTTTAATTTTGGGTACATTAAAACTTGCCAACAGCAATGAGTCAGGACAGGCCAGTGTACTGCTTAGGTATCACTTTAGTTCTTTATGACAGAACGTTGTAATTAAGAGTGTCAGGGGACTTTCCCCCAACCGACTGACAGGGGTCCGAAAGATTGGGGATTCGGGAGCTGTAATGCAGGAATGTTACTCCCCAAAGACGGTGGCAGTATGTCCATCCAAAATGTTCGTATCAGTCAACTTGCAAGTCCAACACAGCGGACAAACATAAACTGCACATTTACTCATCTCTAAGAAGCATAAAAGAAAATTTCGAAGTTTGCAACAGATAGTCTTGTATCTGCGAGATTCGAACCCAAAAAATCCTGCTGACAAGTTCCTTCATCCCCTGGTCTTTCAGAACTCACCCGCGCCTTGCCTTGTGAGACTGCTTGGTATGCCCAGGACGCAGCCGGACATCCGCGCCGAATCAGGTGCTAGTAAAGCAATAAAACGCACCGCCCGCCGAATACTTTAAAATCCAGCGGTAAGTATGCCTACCATCGGCCCCAACAGTCGACAACTTCTCTTTCTCGCTCGTACGATTCTCAAAAGAAACAGCATTGCTGTGTCCAATGCGGGACGGACTGAACTTTCAAATACAATTTTGGAGAACTTTGGCTTGAAAGACTTAAGACAACACTCACATGGTCCCCTTTGCGACAGTCATATTCAGGTTGCTCAACACGTGGTTCGGGTTCTTCTTCGAGCCGTAATGCTTGAAGGCATGACGCACACAGACCGCTTGTTGCCGTCGGGTCCACAGTGACGACTGCTGGGTCTGCAAGGTGTGGGGTACCGCGACGACAGTGTCCAGGGTGGGACTGGAGTCCGGGCGATCGGATACAGAGTTGGCTTCCCTGTAACAAAGCAAGCAAGCGCGTTACTTCGTACTTATTCTCACCTTATAGTGTTTTTACTCAGTACGTCCTCCAGCTATCTCCTCCTTAGCATAACTGCGCCGAAGAATTCGCTTCTTTTGTGGTAATGTGAATTAGGTCAAAAGATACGAAAGCAAACGCCGTTAATCTACACAAGGTAATTAATGATTCCGTCATCGCCGTTAGAGGGTTCGAGAACTCGACTCTGCAAGCTGGCCAGGTTGTAAGAATACAAGCAAAGAGATGTGACCTTTAACATGGGGTTTAGATTGGAAAAGAGAAGACAGCAAAACTTTAAAGTTCGCAGCCTCCCTGAAACAGCTGAGCCTCGCTTAACACGGTGCAGACGGACCAAAAAGCGGGCATGACGCGGCCCCAGAAGGGCTCGATGAACTCGGGGTAAAGTTTCGTGATCTTGGACAGTTCGTCCTTAAACCACCTCAACGGTTCAATTGCATCTCTACCTGACCGTTATTAGGTTCATCTCCTAGTTTACTGGTGCAGCCATCTCAACTCAGTACATGATCCAAATCGTCAACACATCATCCAGATTTACTCACTCAAGAATTTGCAGAATATATTATATATTTGCTACCGGCTGCAGTCTGTTTAAACACCTGTGCACAGTCTCCGATAGATTCTGCGTGTTTTGTGTCCCAGCCACCACATCCTAATGAGCCCTGTCCCCAGAATGACATTAGGCGACGGGCGTCACTTCAGTAAGAGCAAATTGTTCTGCTTCAGAATTGAAGGCAATACTTAAAAAGTATAATTCTGGGAAGCAACATTTGTTAGTGTTCTATTAAACATATTCACGTTTTGATTGCGTGCCGGTAACACGCTCGCGTTTTACATAAGACGTGAATACGGGTGCAAGGTGCAATTTGTCTAGGTCACTCCACATGTCCGACAACGAAACGGAAACGTCTTTTGTAATGCGTTTGTGGCAGGCAATACCCCACTCACATTCAGAGCCTGGAGCTACTTGAGACAAGTGAAACACAAAGAGCGAAACTGTTCTCGTTCTTCGCATGACGTGCATCAAATGCGCCCATAATATGGTAGCTAGTGCCTTTTGATCTCCAGAAAAAGAGGGCCCAGATCAGAAAATATCGGGCGAACATAATTTTGGTTCGGTCTACTTTTACGCCCACTTTACAAGAAATTTGGATTTTATCAAACAGACAAATCTTACGATAAAAATTACCATCCAAAAGAGACGTCACAGAAAGTACGATAAATTGGAACTACTGGGTGCTTTCTGCCAGCGGGTTACGAAAATCACCTTCAGTTGCAGAAAGCACAAAGCTAAAAAAATCAAAGTTATCCCACTATACGCCATGTAGGGGTTTGGGGGGGGGGGGGTCATTATAGCTCCTACTCATTCTTAATCTCGGCACTAGATGGGGTGTGAGTGGTCAGCGTTCGCGCTTTGCCCCCAGGGAAAGGACCCCAGTATCCTTTGGACACGAGGTCGGGTGGGCCCCAGAGCCAGCCTGGACGCAGCAGAGGCTAGAGGAAAAATCCGTCGGGGAGCGAACCCCGGTTGCCCAGTTTGTAGACAGTCACTATACTGACTGCAACAGCATGTCGAAATTTGGCAGACAAATGTTCTCGTTCAAGAATAGAATGCTCTGTAATCACCATGGTAACGCCATATGTTGCAAAAACATGGGCTGATGTAAGTTACTGCAGCAAACTCCGAAGTAAAAACTTGCAACGAAAGTAAAATGTAATGTTAACGCCGTAAACAAGTTTGAAACAGAGGCGTTCGCCTTGAAAATCGACAACGGCTTTGTGGGTGTATCGTAGCCGAACATTTAATCATCAAATGACCTACTGCGTCTTCTCGCATCTATACTTAGCTTTTGGGCTAATTCCCGTCACCTTTCAACGGAACGGTCTTCAGTCGGGAACATGAAAAATATTTTGGATGGCGAGAAGTAGTTTATGAAATTTCGTATTAACAAGATGCCACCAAGGGCTGCCACAGTTGCCTTCAAGCCACACTAGCGCCAGTACCAGCCAGCGTATGATCCTAGAAAACATGTATAACAACAAAAGTTTCGGAAAATATACAACTCTTGCACAAGGAGTTCAAAAACGCGTGGCAGAAACGTCTGCTTTCTGCCTGGTAGAAGTAACGAATGAACAGTTGGCGCAAGGCGTTTGAAATTTTGTACGGGGACAGACCACGCACGTAGGTACGCGTTACATATGAAACATTTGTCAACAACTGCAAGCATGTGGCAGTGCGTACTTCTACAATAAATCGATTACTAAACTATATAAATGTTTATTTATAGTTCTATTAGCCTCGCCATACGAACACAAGTCTTAAGTTACTCCCAAAACTACTTGAGTTAACAGAATGGTTGCTTGGCAACGTGACACCAGAAATCTCGAACAGGTCAACTGGCAAGGGTATGAAACACAGACTCTGTGGTGTAATCGAGCTTGTCACCCTAAACGAAGAGACCGGAACAAACGTTTCAGTATCACGGTACGCAGACGGTGGTTCGGTTACCGCCCTAACAAACAGATTACACGAAAACCAACGATTTTAACGTGTAAGGCACAGCGAGTAAGGTCGGGCGCTTCGCAGAAGGCAGGTACATCGTCGTTGCGTGTTCAAGGCCTTGACACTCCTTACCAGGCAATACAAGGAGAACCGAGCAATTAGCGCCCTTTTTCGATACTCGACAGCTGAGATGCATATTAAAACACACGCGGTGCGCACTTATGTGCGATGTACCGGATAGCTGAGCGGTATAACGTGAGATAATTTTAAAATGCTCCGAGACAAGAAGTGCTGGGAAGAACTTTCGACGTTCACTTACTTATCCCGAGAATTTCCGGTCTCTTTATATAAATATTCACTTCAAGCACACCTGTTGTCACATATGTCAGATAAAATCTCTAACTTTCAAGATTGATTTTAATATTATCCTTTCACACACGCCTGTCGTTGATAATATCGTTTGGCTTTTGTGTTTCCTGACTGAAACTCTAACTGGATCCAGAGGATGGAAAGAAGCCTTTTTCAAAGGCCCTGCACGTCTTTTAGGTACTCGGTAGCCTTGGGGAATTCAGTCGTGATCGTAGAATCTACTCTGTACTTCGGTATTTACACACACAGATAATTTCTATTTTGATGTTGACACTCGCAGGGGAATTCTAAGGATATTGCCACTCACGAATAGCAAATATGAAATAAAAGCTTCAGTACTTAAGGAAAACAAACATTCTGATGGGCACATTAGAGTCAGCACACATACAGAACCACCCACCTTCACCCTTCCAGAAACTTTACAAGTACTTCTAAAACCTGCTTAATGGTAGCAGCACTGTCATATATAAGTATTTATGAGAAATAAGTCAAGGCAGCTTTGCGCTCACTGTGGGGAAGCCATTTTGATCATAAACACAAATAACAGAAACGCAGAGTTGCTACGACGACGATTACAATAAGATACCTATCACAGGCACGCGACCTGAATTCAAATTAAGTTGGTACCCCTGACCTACACTACAATTTCACCTCGAAAGAAGTTGTAGCTCAGGCACAGTTTCGAGACGTTCAACAATTAACACGCTACTTAACGATAACCGAAGACGAATCAATTACCTTGGAATATAGTATTATTTTGTTAAAAGGCAGATAATATTCACTAGCAGGCAGCCTTCAGATCTTCCTGGCTAAAGAATAACAAAACAGCAGAGCGACCTGCTGGCAGATTACCAAGTAATCACCATCGACCTTACACGTCACGAAACCAGCGACCTGGCATAAGGCACACGTTGCTTCACATTAAGAAGTACTGATCGAAATTAATTTAATTAAGTTGTCATTCACATTACACCGTAAGCGAAGGATGCCCTATGGGCTCCCTCGTGTCTCCACGTTTTTTTAGCAATACTGGCATCTCGAATCGCATTAGTTCAAGAATGACACAAGATTCAACAGGGCTCGAGTTAGTGTAACAATGAACTATGTGAGGTGCCGCGAAGCACGCCTTCGGAACGTCAGTTTATTCCGAAGACTATTAGTTTACAATGCTTTATCCTTCTATTACCGGGAAGAGAATTTAGGTGGCCAAGGTACGAATGGAAGAAAAGATAAAACATATATTTTACAGAAATTGTGAGCGGAATTGGTACCGGCTGATAGCAGAATACTATCGCAAAAGTTCGTGTTTCGTGACACCGGAAGACGTCTTCAGACGCCGCCTAAGACCGTCTGTCGCCTTTGTTGTTGTGTACCGCATCGCGTAGCCTTCGCCGGCGTCCATGTTCACAGCTCGAAACGTAAAATTCATTATCGTTCATTCTGTCTGACAGACGGACAGACGTAACATGACGAGACCAGCCACATTCAGCGGAGTCCTCCTCCTTGAGAAGCTGTACGATAATTGAGGCTCCAAAAATCCCTCGCCTTTACGGACTCCCAAACTTCAATACCGTAGCCGGCCATTCGACTGCCAGACAAATCCACACACTCGTACCCTGTTTCTTTACGATACATTTTAATATTATCCTACCATCTACGGCTAGGACGTATAAACCTTAACAGTTTCCTAAAATTCGGAATGAAGGAACAGTATTGACAAACGAAGAATGTCTGTCAGTTAGCTCAGAACAAACATAAACATCCCCAGGTTGTACGAAGAATGCCGGACCGTAATGTGAAATGCTGGCTCTAGAAAGTCGAAACGGCTTGATCCGGGCCTGACAACATTCCATGGCGACGCTGTTATTCCTATTTCTGGAACGGCGAACACAAACAGCCACAAAGAAACACACAAGCACACCGCAGCTCGCCACGGTAGTACCCGCTATCTACCAGCCAGCAGTCGGACCCCAGGGCCTACAAAGACACTAACCCAATTACTTCCCGTGTCTAGAGTTGCTTTAATGCAAGGACAACTCGGACCTACATCCGATTTGGCCATTACACGACCCGCTCCTTCCGGTCCCAA